TTCCTAAATGAGTAGTCAGAGCAGAAAACCAGCTGCTTAAAGAGATGTGTTTTGAAAGGTTCAAAGCAGAGCTTAGCTCAAAAGTTTTGCTCTCACTGTCCCTGACAGAGCCTCAAATTCAACTCTTAGAGAGTCTTTGTTTCTTGAATAAAAATGTTTTCTTGGAGCTAATACCCTAACGTATTATCTATTACAGGATATATTCATTTTCAGCTTTTTAAAAAGTTAGTTGGACACAGAGCCTATGGAAATGAGATCCAAGCTAAGCACTCAGGTCTTAGAATGACAGTCACCTAGCTTACAAGTTTGCTTTAAGATCTGTCTTAGGTATCATAAGCTTAAGAGTTTTATTTCCACTGAAAAATCACTTTGCAAAGATAGATATGACAAATATATATACTTGTGATATACACAGCCCAGCCTCTTCTGCAGTAGCCTGAAGAAACGGTGCGTAGGAGAACAAGGTTTTCCACTCTGAACACCTCTTTTACCATCTTATAGGTCTCCCTGCCATCTCCGGCTTTGTGAGATGCAAAATTTTACTAAGGGCCAGATAAGGTAGGACTTCGTTGCATTTAGTCAAAATACCCTTTAGATAAATTTCCTGAGAGTCACCTTGTCCTGGCATTTGGTTTCTTGGTGAACACATCCTCACTATGCATGATTTTATGGATCTCAGTCTTGCCCTTACCATCATTATTGTAATCTCCATTCTGGTTGACCGCCAGCGATAACAGTTCAGTTATGTTAACAGTTAATTTTTCCTCCGGTTTGGATTTTCTGGCTGGGAAGTCATTGGGAGCATGAAGCTCTGGGGCACTTCAAGTCTCTAAGTCTCTACAGTGAAGTTAATTTGTGTAGTGTGAAGTTATAGGGGCTGTTCTTTCTCAAAGAAATCCTGTATGAATTTTTATAAATCCACTTAAGTCCTTACTTACAGTTGCAAGAAAAATAGATCCTCTGCCTCAAGTAAGTTGTCTGTGAATGGAAACTACTTGGGTTATAATTGTATTATTTACTCTTAATGAATCTAAACTTACATTGGAAGAGCTATAATAGATGAGGCACTTAAAATTAACTGCTAATACCACTTCCTGTATTTTATTTTGGATAAATAAATATTCATTTGCTAAGCGGATATACTATTTCATCAACACGGGGTGCAACATGGGTAGCATAAGTCATTAGCATAATCCAAATGCTTGCTAAAGGCCTTGGAATGCCTAAACTTAAGAAAGTACACTACCAAGGACTTGGAAAGAATCTCGCACTCCAAGGCCGAAGAATCTACTGCATATTAATCTTCATTATCAAAACAAATTGATTGGGGATCTAAAGACAAAAATAAGCCTATTGTGCAACAGCAAAACATTAAAAAAGTTAAAAAAGCTTTAGGAAACTTCACGGCATTGTACAAAGATGCTACACTGGAGAAAGGGAGATCTGGTGGTCCTAATTTTGTCACCAGCTTTGAAATCTTTAGCCAGGCATTTCAGTCCTATAAAAATCCATTTTCTCACTTGTAAAAGGAAGAGTTGAAGTTATGTTTTTCCAGGGCTTTTTTCTCTAACAAACTGAATCTCAGAACAATTGTATGACTCAACCAAGGTAGCAGAGTCCAGACAGAGTTTGAAAAAACACCTTGCAAAACTTACAACTGAAGTTCTGCCTCCAAGGGCACTTAATTTTTTCAAGTGAAAGCATGCATGCAGATTCATCCAGCTGTTACCCTGGAAGAAGACAGAGTAAATATACTCTATTTTATATGAAGCCCAAAGTGTGATTGTTAAAAAATCCCCATGTGCAATTAGAAAGCCGGTGACTGTTCTCTGCCTCATCTATAAACTGCATAATTCTGAAACATTTGACAGCATGTGCTGAGAGATCGAGTCAAGAGTTCTACTGAGGAGATGTTAGAGACTGACATATTAAAGCCAGGATGAGATGGTGGGCATGGGAAACAGGTCACCCAGCATCCCTCAGCAATTTTGGCTCTATAAACCCCACTGTATGATTTATACCCAGCCATGCAATCTCTAGTAATTGATGTCAGGGACTATAAAATTTATACTTTGGACATATTTTAGCTTACTTTGAATTTTTAGCCCAATGTATACCTAAGTAACACACTGCAGTACAAGCTAATATAAATATATATACAGTTCACTAGGTTTTTAAAACGACATTCACTTATTACCCACCTACAACATACAATATATTCAACAAAAACCTAAACTTAAATTTCAAGTGCACATTTGTGCTTATAGGGAAACAGGTGAGAATACACGTGCCTGGATAATAAAGTTCTGTTATTTCCAAAATAATTCTCAATATTATACGATCATTTGTTAAGAGGGAAAATATACCTGTGTTTAAAATCCATCATAATGAATAATTCTGATATAGTAATTAATAAGGACTTCAGAGCTACACAGTTTGCGGGGAAAATTAGTTGACAGATACACTATTATAATTGAATACAGAAGTAATACAAAACTTTAATGTTGTCTTTTCTAGCATTTCTTTAAACGACCATTAAAATTTCTTGATTACTGTTACTTTTCTTTGCTCCTTTTCCATTTTTTCCTTCTCAAAAAAATCATTTTTTCAAATTCAGTAGGAGTTGTAGCCCTTACTTTTGTCTCCCAGGCAAGATTCTATTAGGGGTCACTTCCCATGTACGGAGAAAGCAATCTTCATGGATAATAATGATAAAACCTTATGGAATGCAAAAACAACCAAAATATGTATTCTCAGATGACTGCATTAGGGCCAAGTCAATATTAGTCCCACTTCACCCACGCATCACATAGTCTAAAAATGCTGTCAGCCTGATAAGAATTTCCTGATTTACTCTCTTTTCCAATAGAAAATGTAGGTCATCAAAATAAACTTCTGACAGTAAAAGAACAGTTACACCATCAAGTCTTTTTTTTTTCATTTCACCAGCCGGTTATGATCAAATAGTTTCTTTACGTAACCAAAAAAAAAAAAAAAAAAAAAAAAAAGAAGAAGAAGAAGAAGAAAAAGAAGAAGAAAGAACTAAATCTTGAACAAGCTGTTTTAGTAAAAGCAACAAGAAAATTTCCAAGCACATCTCTTGACTACATTCTTATGGTTGACTCAGCCAAACATCTAGTTAATCCAGCTAAGCAATGTCTACAAAAGTCCAAAATATAGAAGTTGAACTAATCAATGTAGATAAATTGTTTTCTTTTTAAGAAGCTCATTGGTCAGAGTTTTTCTAATTTTTATTTTATTTTATTTTATTGTTTACTTTTTAAAATTGTTGTCTTCAGTATGTTGATGGTTTTAGCAAGAGAAATGAATTGGGGACAGAGTCTCAGGGCCATTGCAAACATTATATAAAGTATTTGGAGTCATTTCTTATTGAAAACTTTTATGATTGGTAATTTGCCATTTTCTCTGATACCGAATGTTATTTTCTAGCTCAAAAAAAAAAGTGTTATAGTATTAACTCCACCACAGATTCATTAATTTCACAACCCTAAAAAAATGAAGCCGTATTTGAAACAACTTCTACTAGTTTGTTATTTTATAAAGGAGGAAAGTATCTTTCTGAATATGTAGAGAAGTTTTAGTTTGCTGCTCATCCACATTCCAAATGATAATTGAAGGCCTCTATAATATCAGAGATGCTTTGAAATGCTGGTGCTGTTGAATATTTTTTTTTTAAACAGGATAGCAGGAAAGTAGGGCTCCTTCCTCTTTGGCCCTAATTGGTCCTAGTGAAGCTGGTACTATTCAGCAGATGAATCTGGGACATGTACCCTTCCAGAGTTAGCTGAATTTCATAGTTCCTAAATTCTAAACAGAAAGTTAGATTTCTTTCTAAAGCATAGCACTGTAATTCTAGCAAACAGACAGACGTAGAGGAAATATAGAAAGTAAAAAGTCAGATTAATTAACAGCCCAAACCTATGAAGGTTTGCAATAAAACATGTGGTTCCTAAGAAAGTAAAAAGAAATAAATCAATATATTCTACGGATGGTAATTTCCTAACCAAATCTAGTTATACATTTTTAAGTTTCTCCAAATCCACCCACCCTAATTCCCATAGTCTGAGGTGGACTCTATTTTGGTACAGCCCTTGCCACATACATTTTTTATTTTAATGTAGCACTAACTAAGCCTTGGCACACTCTCCATTGTATCCAGAGAGTAATGTCCAAGGGCGCCTCGTGCCAAATTCCCCAGAACTCTACTGTTCCTTCTAAAGTAACGATATCATCTCCTCAGTTCACGACCCCTTATTACGGACATCTTCAGTCACTCTTGGAAGAGTGGAGACCCAGCATTCAGAGATCCAAGGTAACCTTTTGGCCTAGGGACACACTGTCAACAGACTGAGCACGTACTATATAACAAGCTCTGTGCTTTGCTGGGATGAAAAAATGAATGAAGAACCTTGGAATCCATCCCTGTCCTCTAAGTCACAGTCACAGGGAGAAACATTCTGTGGAGAAGTTCTAGTAACAGCCGATAGACATGATGCTAGACCAGTGTTCCCCCATGAAAGTCCCAGATCATTTCGTGAACTCACTCTCCAGATAGCCTCCCCTACCTCTGTCAACGCACTTCATCTTCCTCATCAATAAAACCCTCAAACATTCCAACTTTCCAAACAAACAAAATAGTTGGTGTAAAGGAAGTTTACTCACATAGTCCTAAGACAGATGCCCTTGGTGAGCTTCAGAGAACTGAGTCCTAAGAGCTCGGGTGGCTATGAGGCGCAGCCTCTGAGCTCCGGTGACCACAGCTCAATGAAGCCCCCAGCCAGGTCATGCCTCACCCACCCGTACACCCCGCTGCTCTCCCTTCCCGGCTCTCTCGGGATGGCTTCTGCTCAAGGACGCTCCCGCAGGTCCCAGCGCATCCTCCGCGCCACGCGTGCCGGCGGGACGTCGCCGAGCCCCAGACCGATACTCTCGATGCCCTTCGCCCCCGCCCCCGGCAGGCTGCCCGGCCGGTGACTCACCTGCTGGCCAGGTTGGGGCGCCGGCTGGTAGTAGGCTGTGGGGCAGGTTGTCGCTGCCATGGGGTTGGGCAGATACTGGGACGCTCCATACGGCTGGGGGTGATACATCACCTCCGCACAACTCATGGCAGCCGGGGCAGTGGCGGCCCCCGAGCTGCGGCCGCCGCTCTACGCGCTGGCGCGAGGGGCGCGGGCGCCGCCGCCGCAGCTGCCGCCTCTGTCGCTGCTCCAGCTGCTACTGCGGCGAAGGCGGGTCCTCGGCGGCCTCGGGCTCCGCGCGGGGCGCGGGCTCGGGAGGGACAGGCAATCAGCGGGGGCCCGTGCGCGGGCACCTTCATCTTCAGCCCCTCCGGGTGTCCCCTGCCGCGCTTATATAGCGGCTCAGGGACGCAGCCGCCCGCTGCGCCGCTGGGGCATTACCGCGTCCGGCTCCCGCGAGGGCTGCGGCGCCCACGGCAGCGCCAGTCACAGCCACAGCCCAGGCCCGGGTCGGCCAGCCGTGGGGAGCCCGGTTCTGGTTTGCATATACACAATGCACGCCCGGGGCTCGTCCTATCACGAGTGCTCCCGGCTGTGAGAGGACCGGGAGGCGGGGGCAGAGGGAGGGGGAACGCCGGGGAGGAGGGGGAGCACTTCGCCTCCCCAGGCTCTGACGCGGAACTTTGCGAAGTTTCTCCAACTTGCTTTGCAGCCGGCGGGTCACCCTGCAGGGGGACCCCGGCGAAGGCTGGCTGCGGATTGGAGCGAAGTTTGCAGCCCTCTCCGCCTCTCAGCACTGGATGGTGGTGGGAGGGGAATGGTATGCAGAGGCTCCGCGCCCTCGATGCTCGGCAGGTTCCCACCCTGTCTCTGTCACCTGGCCGCCAGGGCAAGGGCTTCCCAGCTCCAAGGAGATTTTACAGGGAACACCAACTCAGAGGCTGGGGCCAAACAAAAGCCAAGTGTACAAAGAGGGTAAAACAGAGCAGGCGCAGAATACACGGGGATTAGCTCCTACACTAAAATAATCATAAGTGAAAGTTAACATCACTACAAGTGCGCACAGGCCAAGAATGCAACACAGTTTTCCACAAGCAATCTCTGCTTTAAGTTTACATCTTCATGGTATGACACTGCTGTGGGACGTCCACCATTTCTGGCTTTTACAGCCTGGTTTTCATAGAGCAATAAAGGGTAGTTGATTAAGCCCATTCGGCTAATAAAGGTTTATCTATTTGCAATTGGATCTGACCCTCTCCAAATGGGGGGAAAAATCTGTGAGAATATACTTGCATTCCGACGTAATCAGTAGAAATAATTATACTCACATTATTTTATTTATTTTGAGACAGGGTTCCCCTCTGTTGCCCGAGCTAGAGTGCAGTGGCACGAGCACAGCTCACTGCAGCTACCACCCCTACGCTCAAGAGATCCTCCCATCTCAGCCTCTGGAGTAGCTGGGACTACAGGCCTGCAGTACCACGCCCAGCTTTTTTTTTTTTTTTTTTAAATTTTTGTAGAGGGTCTTGCTATGTTACCTAGGGGGGTCTCTAGCTCCTAGGCTCAAGGGATCCTCCTGCTTCGGTCTCCCAAAGTGTTGGGATAACAGGCATGATGCACCGTACTGGGCCTCATTTTATAAATGAGCAAACTCTAGTTCTGAGGTTCAGCAAACACATCTTTTCTTATACATAGGCATCCTCTTTTATGACTCAAAGCAATCTCTCATTTTCACAGACTATCTTTTCTCAGAGAAAAAGTCAATTTGAAAGTCAAATGTACTAATGTTTTTATAGATTGAATTATATCTTCCCCCAAAATTTATATATTGAAACCTTAACCCACAATAAGGCTGTATTTGAAGATAGGACATAGAAAGAGGTGATAAGGTTAAATGAGATGTAAAAGGTTGGGCCCTAATCTGATAGGACTAGGTTCCTTATAAGAAGACAAAACACACCCGATATATCTGTCTCTCCCCCAAACAGCACTCCCTGCTCTGCCAAAGAGGAAAGGTCATCTGAAGTCCTAGTGAGTTGCCTACAAGCCAGGAAGAAAGGTCTCACCTTGAAACTAACACTGACCACACCTCATCTTATGCTTCTAGCCCCCAGAACTATGAAAAAATTAACTTCTTTTTTTGAGACGAAGTCTCACTCTGTTGCCCAGGCTGGAGTGCAATGTCAGGATCTCGGCTCCCTGCAACCTCCGCCTCCCCCATTCAAGCGATTCTTCCGCCCCAGCCTTGGTAGTAGCTGGGATTTCAGGCACCCGCCATCATGCCTGGCTAATTTTTTGTATTTTTGTAGAGACAGGGTTTCACCATGTTGGCCAGGATGGTCTTGAACTCCTGACCTCAGGTGATCTGCCCGCCTCGGCCTCCCAAAGTGCTGGGATTACAGACGTGAGCCAGGGCACCCAGCTTAATTTGTTTTTTTAGGTCACCTAGTTTGTGGTATTTACCACGGGCCTAGCAGACTAATACAGATATACAGTTCTCATATATTGTTAATGTTTAGATAAGTGTCTGTGTGCATGTCTAGCTACACAGATACATACACATGTATAAACACACAAGCATACACGCACACTCACACTATAAAAATTGGATAGGAAATTTTCGCCACGCCATAACAGCTTTTATTCACTCGTTTTATCCACTGAAAATTGAAAGCATATTTATTAAGGGTTTGCACAGTTTTTGGACTTTAAATTGTGCTCTTTGTAGTGCAACAGTATTTCCAGCAATGATATGTTTCATAATTTACTTTAAATGTTTATTATTGTCTTTTCCCAAATTGATATCCTTTGATTAAATCCCTTTCCTGTGTTCTAGGTTTATCTATTCAGTTCTTTCTAGGCAGGTCCACATAGGTGTTACATAAGGACCTCAGTCCTAATACTCCTGATGGTCTCATGTCCCCAGTTTGATCCTCTTGTTTAATCTTCATCTCTACTGAAACTCCCTCACTACCAGTTGCCCTAGCTGGAAATGTGGGAATCTTCTGGCACTCCTTCCTTCTCCTCACAGTCCCCACACCTGGTCTTGGAGTCAAGTTGACCCTCAGTTTTCCATTTCTACTGACTCTCTCCTTATCTCTGTTGCTATAATCGTTAGTTTACTCGGCATCTCTCACTCAGACTCCTGCAAGAGACCCTGAGTGATTTCCGGGCCCTAAGACGAACCCTCTTCCTGTTCTGCATAGTTGATACTACTGCTCTTTAATGACACTGAAAATCCAACTGTGGAATGATGATTCATTCTTCTTTTAAAAATTTCACACTCACATCCCGCAGTCTGTAGAAACAACTCTTTAACCTTCTGATTCTGATCCCTGCCTATGTCACTACCTCCTGCGAATGTTTACCAGCTATCTGAATTGAGATCTGCATTCTGCGAAGCTGTGGTACTTTCTACCAGCATGTCATTTTACACATGTGCACCCACACATCCCCCACCCTCTTCACTTGTTAACTCTTTCTTGCTCTTCATGTAATTGTCCTCCAAAACATCCGATGAGGATCAGCTTTAATGCCTCTATTTCACCAGCTCTCGTACTTTTAAGAATACTGCTCCCATCATACTAATAGTTAACTACTTGATTTGAAGTTGCTTATTTGCTTGTCTCCCCAATATGACCATGGCTGCTTGAGAGGAAAGACTGACTTTTATCTCTAAATTTCAATCATATTGTGTCTGGCTTAGTAAACGTTCTTTGAATAAGTAAAGCTTATAATAGGAGGAGAAACAAAACTATTAGAATAACTTACAAATTCTTGGGGGGATCTGAGCACATACGAAATCCGTGAAGGCTATAATGTAGAATATGATTTCAAACTCTGTTTTAGGCTTTCTACTGTATGTTAGATTGAGAAAATCCTTAGGATGTTAAAAAAAAAAAAAAAAGGACTTAGAAAATGACAGCCACTTATCAGAGCCACACCTGCTGTTCAAATGTTTAATGTCTGCAACTTTTTTCAAATAACTTATATCTGTAGTTGATGTTTTTGTACAATTATTAGTTCAGTATCTGTCTATTTAGCTAGACTTTGACAGAGGTTATTTATATCTTGTTCATCTCCATATCTAACACTTAGAAGACATTCTATGTTTTCTGAATGATAAAATAAAGCCAGAACTTGATTCAACATGTCCATACCCCTTACTGCTGCATCTTCAACGCTCCATATGGCCTCCAGTGTGTTGCAAATATTTATTCTATGACAAAAAAAAGTTACTTGGTACTAATAAGTCATGGACACAAAAGTCCGTAGGTGTTTGGCGAAATCTTCCTACAATGCAATATTGTTTTTGATACCTGTCTTTGTTTCTATATTGTACTGCTGGAAGAAAATAAGAGAGTAAAGATTAATTCTACCTTGCCTTAGAATCTAGAGAAATGGACAGAGAAAGAAAATGGTTTGTCAAAGGCTGTAGTCTTCGTGAGGTCATTAATAAAAATTCTGATAATTAATGTTAGGGAAATCTACATTTGAGTTCTAGTAAGAAAGCAGATGTACCTGACTTCCCCTGGGTAGCTATTTAGAGTTTTAGAATGGAAAATAATAAAAAGGATCATCAAGTTTAAAACATCCTTTTTCATAAATAAGTAAATATACGATCTGATTGATGTCTTCTAGGGAACCAGTGGCAGAACTAAAACCAAAGTCTCATTTCTCTTGACTCTTGATTTAGTTCTCTTTCCATAATCGCATAATAAAGATATATAAACAAATACATATGCATATGTATATGCACACATGCATTATACTTGTGTGTACATATTCTTAGATATTTACTTATGCATACACACACACACACACACACACGAAGGAAGAAGTTTTTGATCAGATCCTCCTTGGGTCAACTTGGAGTTGAAGAAGAGCAGTATGTGAATGGGGTGGGGATGCGGGCCAATTGCATTTAGCAAGAGTGAGTCACTCAGATCAGAGAATGTGATCTGACCACTGGTGTACTCATTGTTATCTCTACTATGTAAGTGTGTCACAATTACTTGGAAAAAGCAGCAACGGTATGGAATTCAATTTTATGTAGTTCTGAGCTAAAGTTCCTCAAAGTTTGCCCTGAAACATTCCCAAAACTTCTGAATTGTGGGTTTACAGTCACTACATTTCTCCCCCACCACCAAATTTCTCAAAATGTTTGTTTCCAAATTTTCCAGCTGGAATTTAGTGAGGTGGACCACCCCCCGCATCTAGTTTTATTTGGAGGGATAACTTGAAGTGGGTTTTCCTAATATATTTTGGAATGAGATAGGGTAAAAAGCAGGGGCAGCTTACTTTTTGAGTGGTGACAGCCACGCCTACCTTTAACTTGGGTTCCCAATGTAAGAGAACTCCCTGGACCCTGCAGTACATGCATGTAGACATCTCAAACTAAGTATTCAAATCTCCTCTACCTGCCCCCTGCTACCAAACAGTTGAGTCTTGACCAGCCCTTTACCCTAAGCTGAGCCCATTGATAATGCAACCTGCTCTAGGAACCGTGGCTCTGAGGAAATGGGCCTGCGTCATCTGTGCAGGAAATTGTCAGGTCTTGAGTAAAGAAACATAGTTGTTCTAGGCAGAATTATGTCCCTCCCTAAAGATGTCCACATTCTAATTCCTGAAACTCTTGAATGTTCTGTTACTTAGAAAAGGGGAGTTAAGATTGCAGATGGAATTAAGGCTTGCTAATGAGAGGATTTTA